GCAATTCACGATGTTGATTTCCTCTGCCGACTTCCTATGTTGCCCCAAGCCCAACTTCTGCTTGCTAACACAGAGATACTAATTGGTCTTTTGTTTGGACAAGGAAAAATGCCTAGCATAAGACTGCTTGCAACTCTAGAGCCATGACACAATGTATTAAAGCCTGTTTGGTTAGCTGAAAACTTCAACGTGCAATTGGCATGATGCTTGAATGTCCCATCCTACGCGACAATACCATAGTCATAATCCTGATATTCGCTATCTAGAATATCACCATTCACATTTTTCTCGCATGTGATATTAACCACCTCATTGAAAATTCGTGCCTTCATCACCACCGGAATATTTTCCCCTTAAAAGGGTAAACTAGGACATAAGGGCTATAACCGTTCAGGTGTGAAATCTTCCAGAAAGAATGTTCTCCACAAATCATCCCAATCAAATGCTTTGCAGTCAATGTTGTCAAAGTGTCAGGACAGTATACAACGATACTTCTGGCTATTCCCCCAGCAGCAGGCTAGAGCATAAGAAAAAAGCATCTACACCTTCTTTAATCTAGGCTGGGCCTCTAAACTCAAAGTCAAACTTGCCGATCATTCAAAGCAGCATCCCCTTTGGAAAGGCCCTATGTACATCATTGGAGAGGTTTGTCAGAGAGCGCATATTAATTCAAATCAAATGAACAATTCTCAAATCTCTAAATAAAAGCCATTCATCATTTATATTTACTACTTCACTGAACTGTCTTTTAAGAAATAATATAATCCTTAAGTTAAGTCCCCGTTTTAGTCTTCTTGTGTAGTAATTTTGTTATGCTGAACAACAATAAATTATTTGACCTTCATAAAATAAGTGGCACTCCAACCTTAGTGCTAGCTACCAGCTGGGTCGCTTAAGTTAATATGCATCATCAGTTGCATGATCCCTGATTTATCTTCTAACATAGCACTTCTTGCAATATTTGTTTTCGTATTTAGATCAAAGAGGAGGGGTTAGTTATATTTTTATGGGATACATCGTGCAGTTTTATTGGCCACTTCACCGTTCTCATTATAATTGGAAGTATTGAAACTTTATTCGGGATTGTAATGGTCCTTTGTTGTTAATACTAGCAGGGACTAATGCATTAGCTGCTGGGTTTTCTCTTCACTGCTTACGGATTGGCTATTTATTGGTTTTGTAGATTATCATGATCACTTCTAATCTTCTAACTCCTGATGAGAATTGCCGTGTTGAAAGGTTGGTTTCTCCCGGTGTTATCATCAAAGTGGCCTACATTGCGCGCCTTTACATGATAGCAAACCAGAGATGGTTCAAAGTTTCCTCCGGAGTTGTTACACTTGAAGAAAGTCCAAACTTATGTGTGATGGAAATTTGCTTCTATGACTGGGATGTGAGTCTTTGACTTGCAGCATTATTA